GGGGGGGGCAGGTGGGCTCTCCTCATCCTCCGCAGGAAGTACATGCACTTCTGTGCCCTTTTGACCTGTGAGGTGGTGTTTCCAGTCCAGGTGAGGGTGTCTGTGATGAATTTGGTGCTGTTGACCACCTCTACAGCTGAGCTGTTGATGAGCAGTGGAGCAGGCCAGGCGGCATGGGCGGGCATTGGGGGGCTGCGCCCGACCATGGAGGCGCCCGTGCCCGCCCCAAATTGGAAGTTGTTTCTTGTTTTTTTTGTTTTCCTTTCTTAAATCAGTGTAGCCAGCGTTCTATTATTTGTCTCTCAGTTTGTCAACCATAACCAATCAAATCGACAACAAAATACAACATCCAGTCAAACTACAGGGGGGGTCAATGAGTCATACTTTCATACTTTGTTTACATCCGTCTGGTCACCATCCAGTGCGCGTCGGTATGGATATTCAGGCTTTCAAAGTAGCATTTTCAAAGCAATAGAAGGACAAGTACTGACAATGGAGCAAATGAGAGCGACCAGGGAGCAGTTTCTGTTGGAAATGTAAGCACGACAGCCAGGACTGAAGTAAACATTCATGCTAGGAGGGTTAGCTCCAGCAGCTAAGGAGCAGAATAATAACACAAATAGCACCGGAGTTCATGGTGACATTACACTTGTGTGAGGACCCACAACAGACAATTTCAGCCTATTGCTAATGACCTTGGCACAGAAAAGCCCCAAAGACCACTGATGCAGAGCTTTCCTTCACGACTTTTCTCAGGGAAGAAAAGATCATTCTGCAGTTCATGTTATTAAAGTTTGACCTGGTCGAGTATTCAGTACAGGCAGATGCTGCATACTGCTACCCATGTAGAATGTTTCAGGGACCCAGATACGGTGATGCAACGTTCTGTGTAACTGGTTTCCAGGACTGGAAACATGCAGTGGAAGCTGGAAAAGAATTAATCAAGCATGGTGCCATGTGGAGGGATAAGGAAAGGCGAATTCACACAAATAAGGAAATATCAACGTTAATTAACTGATTGTTTATTTTTATATTTTGTGGATCTTTTTTACTTTCTCTGGACCTAATTGTACCTAAAATCATGGTTCTATTAATGTTTTCGACCTAAATACATATCTAACATGTATCCAGTTTCTGAATGATTGTAGTAAGTCTAGTTTCTACCAACCGCTGGGGGAGACATTAGATCATCAGAAAACCCTGTCAGGAAACATTTTTTTCTAACAACACAAACAATCAAATAAAAGCTGATTTCTAATTCAGCTAATTATTCTAGAAAATGTTTCAATCATTCAAATAAATGTTTTTATAGAGATTGGAGATTTCTTTAACTGATTGAATGTTCTCAAAGCCAATGTTAATCTCGAAGTAAAACAAATGTTTGCAGAAAAGTGTGAAAAAAAATGGAATGCCCCCTCTTTAATTTCTTTCTGCAGCCGGGTCTGCAGTGGAGGGTGGTTAGGGCGGTTCTTCCTGAAGTTCAACATGTTCTTCTTCGTCTTTTCCACATGCAGGATCAGGCTGTTATCTCTGCACCAGCTGCTCCACCTCCACTCTGTAGTCCTGGTCTGTTTTGTTCATCAATCAGACTTTTACCCAGGGCCGGTTCTAGGAAAACGTTTCAAGGGGGGCCACAGAAACAAGAATGAAAAAAGGACACCACCATTTTTTTCACGGCATTTTTGTTTATTTAGAGCACCATTGAAACAAAAATTCTCTCCATTCAAAATATTTCACCTACTGCTCATCAGAACAATAAAACTTCATAAACAGATTTTGTACACTAACATTTCTTTCATTTGGATGTAATAAGATTGTATTAGTTAGCTGTATAGTTATATGTTTATGTTGTTGTACATGGAGTTTTATAGCACAACACATACAGTCCAATTTTCAGTTCAGCAGTTTCTCAGGTTTCTCAGTGGCAAGACCAATTCCTGTAACACTAATGTTATTCTGCGTTTATTGTTTCTTGCAAAATGGTCCACGAATGCATTAAGGTCCAAAGCCTTAGACCTTCTGGAATCAATGCTTGGGATCCCTAAACTAAGTTTAGTTTGGAAAAACAGAAGTGGCAGAAATCACTGGGAGTGCAACAGCGTTTAAAACGACAGTATCAGTCGAGGATGACCCAAACAGTGCATCAAGAAACATGCATATTTCTTGCTTAGCTCCGTCTCTTTACACTATTTTCCGTAAGTCATCTGACTCTTATATATCCTTCTTCTTTCTTGTTCAGACAATCAATTTTCAATTCAATTCAGTTTATTTAGCGCCAAATTCACAACACATGTCATCTCAAGGCACTTTACAGTTCAACCAGATCATACAGTCAAATGGATACAAAGTTTTCTATCTTAGGAAAACCAGTTGATTGCATTGACTCATTGACTCAAATACAATCCCTCACACTAAGCATGCTTGTAGCTACAGTGGAGAGGAAAAACTCCCTTT